CGATTCCAACCCTGTTGGACTATGTGAAAGTGCTTCAGCATTTTATAATTGGTTTTTTGTTTATAACCGGAAAAGTGAATGGTTGTGTCAGGAAGATAAAGAATTTTATTGTCTTCAAAAGTCAACAAATGGAAGAGCTGGATACTGTACCACAATTAAAGATGCTGAAGGTATTCATCCAAGAAAATTAGTGATGATAAGGAAACAAATGTCCATTAGTCAAGGACAAGATTTTGTTGAATCAGCTAGTGAAGGAGATCTTTCAGAAAGTGAAGAGCAGTGTTCCAGCAGTGATATTGAAGCTGAAGGTCCGTCATCATCATTTAAAAAACAAAAAACAAATTCAGCAGTAAATTTAGTGATTTCTGCAAAGATTAGTACCAAAAAAGCACATAAAGTATGTAAAACTCTCTCAGAAAGTAGTATTTCTATTTATACTCCAACGCAAAGTGGTATCTACAAAGGTGTTATAAAAAAAGGGGAAAAATTGTAAGTAAATTATATGGAAAACCTAAAAACTGAAAAGTGGTCGTTGCACTTTGATGAAAACACATAAAGATAATGGAATATCAAGTTGTTTTGAAAAATGAAAATAGAGAGGTTCGACTTGCTGTTCTGGAGCTGATGAATGGAAAAGGTGAAACAATATATAATAGGAAAAAGCATGTGCTAGATGAATATGAGCTGTGGCCAGCCATAAAAATGATCGTATCTGACAAACATATACAAATGCAAGATTAAGAAATGGTGTAGTTACACGGTTACAGAAACATTTTAAAACCATTGGACTAGAAAAGTCTGTTTTTATTGGATGCCAACACCATTTTCTATATACTCTTTTAAAACATGTCATGAATGATCATTTTGAAGGATGAACAATGTCACCATATCTCCATTACCTTTTTGTAACAAGGTTGCAGCAAGATTTCGAGAACTTGAAGTTATTATTTTGTAGTATTGGAAATCCTTTGACGAAATTGAAGCGAACTTGCTCGAAAGGTGACATGGATTTCCTGAATCACTTAATAGCATGTTATAGAAAGTTTAAAAGTACAAGTAACTTTCCAAAAGTTAATTTCAAATCACTTCCTGCTATAAGCAATGCAAGATGGAATTCGAAAGCCATTTTTATTCTACTTGCTTACATTTTAATACCAGAATACCAAGAATCAGAATCTACTCAAGCAGCATGTGACTTCATCTGTGGTTCATGGGGTGATATATGGTTTGGGGGTCACTACTTCAATCCTGCAGATTTTGTTAATCTATTAGAAGCATGCAATGAGCATTCTAAAGCATTGAAATCATTGAAAAAATTTTGGTCCACTGAGCCAACACCAATACCAACACAACGGTCAAATATATGTGCAGAACATGCTGTGAAAGTGATGCAAGACTTAATGCCATTATGCCATAGCATAAAAAAACTAAATATTAAATACTTATTGTCAAATACACAGTAGACAAATTTTAATTATATATGTTTTTTGGTCTCTGTAAAGTAGTGGAAGAAGTGTTGCAAAATTACATTTTTTTAATTTTTTTATAAATATTTTTTAATTGGGGGTGAACTTTTTTGACATATAGTAAAAATGCTTGTTATTCTTTTGATTTTTGAACAAAAACTCCACTAAATTTAGTATGGGAATATAGGGTTGTAAAGTTGTCATATCCCTAATGTGCAAATATAACACTCAAGAAACTCAAGAGAAAATGATAAATAAAAATCTCGAATGAGGTTAAGATCATTATTTTCTACGATTTTCTGTAACTTATTGAAAACAAGTAAAGGATATGTGAGAGTTGTGCACCAGACCTTTCATGACCCTTATTGCGGGTCCGGACTATCTAGTTGCGATTATTATTTAAACAACAACAACAAAACTTATTTTTATTTTGGTTAGATTTGTTATTTGACCACGCTGAATAAGAGAAACGAAAAGCAGTATAGCTAAAAATATGCTTCCTTACGGTAAACTTTAACAGGACTACTAATCTATTTCATAATCTTCACTACTAACCTATTTCATGATCTTCAATCTATTTCACATATCTTCATGAACAGACGTGTTTTTTGCAGCGTAAAAAAAAATTAAAAGAAAAAAACTATTTAACTTTTTAGCATATTTTATTTATACTTATTTTATTAAACATAGCAAGCAAAAAAGACATTAAAAGTATGTTGAAAGAAAAATTCAAAGTACAAGAAAATTCAATTCTAAAGATTATTTCTGGAAATGCAACAATTCAAAATAAAAAAATGGATTAAATCTTAAAATCGATCGAGTCAATTACTAAACGTTTGTTATTCGTAGAAGAAAAACAAAAAACTTTACAACAAACTGTTGAAGACCTATGGGAAACTATTAAGTTCACCCAAGATACTTTGATTGATGAAAAAATTACATCTCTTAATAAAGATTTAAAAAAAGTAGTTAATAGCGAAATCACAAACGTTTCAAATAAAACCATTTATGTACAAGAAAATTTGGACAAAGTAAAAAACTTATATCACGAGCTAAAAGAAAAGATGAGAAAGGTTGAAGACAGAAATAAAAGAAATAACATAAGAATTTACGGATTACGAGAAAATGAACGAGAAACTTGGGAAAATACTGAACAAAAACTTTAAACAATTTTTAATGAACAGCTTTAGTTCAAAAATATAGTAATAGAAAGAGCACACAGAATTGGAAAAGTTTATAATAATATGGATACCCCAAGAACTTTTATAGTTAAACTGTTAAATTAAAGAACTAATCTTGAAAAATGCAAAGAAGCTAAAAGGAAAAGGGATCTTTTTAAACGAGGACTTTTTAGTAAAAACAAATAAAATACGACGTGATCTTATTGAGAAAATGAAGATTGCAAGAAATTCCGGAAAATATGCAGCTTTAGCATATGATAAACTGATTGTGAAAGAGTTAAATCGGAGCATTAAATAAGTATCTTTGTTTCTTTTCTTTATACATTTTGCTATTTATATTTAATTTTTAAATGGAGGGCAATTTGCGATTAAAATATTTTCCTGAAAATTTAGGTCTCAGTGATAAAGATACATATGCAAAATACTTTGATCAAATAACATATGAAAGTAATTACTACTTGATTTACCAAACCGCAAAATATTTTCACCTAAACAAAGTCTCATTTTCAATTTTAAATACTTATATCAGAAGTCTTAGAAAATTTTAAATCTTTACTCGACAAAATAAAACACGGTTTCGGCATTATTTGTTTTACAGAGACTTGGTGTAAATGTGAAAAAAATCCGGTTGTCGGTAAACTGCGAACCGTGAACAGCGAACCGGTAAAATGCGAACTTTTTTGCGAACCAAAACATTATATTTTAAAGACCATTTTTTATGATAAAAATAATAATAAAAAAACTCTCCAATACTTAATTATCTATTTTAAAGCTTTATTTAAAATAAATTTTTATTTTTTAACTGTAAAACATGCGCAGAGTGTTGCTACATCGACTATCTTATAGCCTGACTCGTTACGGAGTGCTGCTAAATCGACTGAGGGTTTTGTTTGGGTAGGCAGTTTGTCAAATAATTAAAAAAAAAATTAAAATTGTATTTGCCTAGTTTCACTTAATTTTCTTTTATTTATTTTTAATTAATTTTTTCGTTTAAAAGTCCTTAAAATATACCGTTAAATGAACTATTTAACGGAAATAGAACATTACATCATTAACAACCAATAGGAAGATGGTTCGCAAAAAAGTTCGCATTTTACCGGTTCGCAGTTCGCATTTTACCTAGTACCAAAAAATCCACAATTCGAATTAAAAAATTATACATCTGTTAATCAACCGCGTAAAATTCATGCTGGAGGAGGCGTAAGTGTTTATATCCACAATTCAATCGACTTTATGTTGTGTAGGGATCTTAGTGTGAATGAAACAGATTGTGAGTCATTATGTATTATAGACAACCAGATGGGAATTTTAAAACATTCAAAACTCATCTTAGGTCATTTTTAAACAAAATTAATAACATATAAAAGCATGTTTACATAGTTGGTATGTTAAATAGAAGTATGTTTCAACATTAACTTGTTGAAACATACTTCTATTAATAACGTTAAACATTTTATTGATACTTTACTTAAGCACATGTGCTCAAGTAAAGTATCAATAAAATGTTTAACGTAAGATAGAATCAAACTGTAGTTTGATTCCAACAATTATTAAGCCAACCAGAATAACTATAACTTCTTCTACCTTAGTCGATAATATAATAACCAACAACTCCCATGTTTTCACAGGTATAATTAGCGTTAGACCTTTCAGATCACTTTCCTACCTTCTTAACTACTAAAATCATAGCACCAAACAATACCTCTCTCAAACCTCATATACAAACAAGAGATCAATGAAAACTCCTTACAAAAATTCAAAAGTTTACTAAAAAACCATGTTGATTGGGATCTTATATTGCAATCAAGCGATGCGAATTACGTCTACGAACTTTTTCTAGGTCAATTTTGTAAATATTATGAAAAAGCGTTTCCAGTTAAAACTGTTGTTATAAACAAAATGTCACTTTTAACTCCTTGGATGTCTAAAGGTTTAAATAAATCATCAAGAAAAAAACAAAAACTCTACGACAAATTCCTAAAAAATAAAACTTATAAAAGTGAAATAGCCCGAGTAGCAAGGAATATTGGCTAAATATTGCTAACAATATTGCGCCAATATAAAATGTCCACATTTTGATAAATATACCCAATATTGTTTTACAATATTGGCGCAATAATTGTATTAATATTGGCTAAATATTGCTAACAATATTGCGCCGATATAAAATGTCCACATTCTAATATATATAGCTAATATTGTTTTACAATATTGGCTACATATAGACTGCAATATTGGGCCGATATCATATTTGAACATAACCAATATATCGTTAATATTGCATTTTCATCAAATTTCGCTTCAAATATTTAATGAAAGTTTTAACGGATTAAGGTATAATAAAGAAAAACTATTTTGCACAAGATACTTTTATTTACTGTCCATTTAATTAAGATTATCAAAGGTGCTGTTGCCAAACGATATTGGCTCAGTAGGCAGAGTTAATGATCGACTTTTACGACGACCATTCTAGTCTCGAGAAGTCGTCAAACAGGATCCAATTCTTTCTCTTATCTGTTTTTCAGTTGCTTCAGGAAACCTCCGTCTAACAGCAACTAAATTTAATTTATAATAAATAATAGGGTAAATAATTAATAAATAATAGGGTAGGTCATCAAACAAAATTTTTTTAAAATGCTTCGGGATAGCTCTAAATATATGCTATATAATGAAATAATAATAAAAATAAATATTTCTAAATCAAAAATATTTTTAGACTTGCCCCCAAGACCTTTAAACATTTACAGGGTCCCTAATATTATTTAAAAAATGGTACTCAAAAGAAGCGAAATTACATAAATGTTTTGAAAATAATAATTTTTTTATAGAAATTTTATTTTTTTTAAAATATTTTTTATGCATTAAAACTACGGTTTTTTGTCTAAAAGTTAAAAAAGCTACATTTTTTGATAATAAATATTATTAAATATTAAGGATCCTGTAAATGTTTAAGGGTCTTGGGGCCAAGTCTAAAAATATTTTTGATTTAAAAATATTTATTTGTATTATTATTTCATTATATAGCAGATATTTATCCCAAAGCATTTTTCAAAAAATATTTTTTGATGACGTACCCTAATGTGTGTATATATATATATATATATATATATATATATATATATATATATATATATATATATATATATATATATATATATATATATATATATATATATATATATATATATATATATATATATATATATATATATATATATATATGATTTCACGCAAATTTTATCATCAAAACTGAGCAAGATATATGCTTTCTAATGAAAATGGTATTTTTTCTATAATTAAAAATCAGTACCCAATTAAGCTTATTGATAAATGTATAAATAACTATTTAGATAAAAAAATTTGGTACATTTAAATTCAACAATAACTAATCCCTTAATTGCAAATATTTTAAGTTGTCATATGTAGCTGATTGTTCAAGCAATATTTAAAACAAACTAATAAGTTAACTAAAAAGTTATGTAAAAAAGATTTAATTATCAAATTATAATTCCTTTCTTTTAAAATTAAACAATATTTTTCACTTAAAGATTTACTTTCAAGAATAATAAATCAAACATTGTTTACAAATTTAATTGTGCGAACTGCAAATTTTGTGTGTGTGTGTGTGGGGGAGGAGGGGGGGGAGGACTCTAACCCACTGATATAAGGGCCCTACAAAGATATTGGCCTCAGGCCCTTCATGTTCTTAATCCGCCACTGTATAAATCAAATATATAAATATAGTGAAACTTGCCAATTATAACATTATAAATTGAGTGTTTAATTAATGATTTTTTGCCTTTTTTGCCATGCGCAGAATATGAAAGGCTAACTTGTTTAGAAAACATGGACTTAATTACATCCGTTGTCATTCTTTTATAGTTTTCGCCGCCCAACAAAACAAGATGACAAACCTAAAAGTATAAATAGATTTAATAAATAAATGTTTTAAAACTGCAATTTAAAAGAATAAATAATAAATTTTATTCTTTACTTATTATTAATACAAAAACATTCTTAATTCTTCTATAATTTTTTTCTCTCTCTAATTCTTCTATAAAACAAAATTGGATTGGAAAATGAACAAAGAATATAAATATGGTTAAAAGGAATCTATACTAACTTTAAAAGTTTTATAGATATATTTTATTTTTAGATTCTTCTTTGAATATTATTAATTCTGATGAACGTTATACCGTCGGGGATAGTGCAAATCCGCGTAACTAGCATTGGCTACTATATTTGGATATTATTAATTTTAACACCAAATATTTATTGTTGAGATTGCAAAAAAACATGAATAATACTTTTTTTACTAAAATGAACCCAAAAACAGTTAAAATAAAAAATAAATAAAGTTTTAAACTTCTCCAGTAAAAAAAATGTACTGTAGATACGCGGTATTATAAAATGCTAGTTACGCGGTTTTGCACTATCCCCGACGATATGCAAGTTATAGGCCAATAGCTTGGTCTATAAATTGCATTTATGTTTATGAACACTACATACTACTACAATACAGTATTTACAAAAAAACATTTTTGAAAAAGACAAAATGCAGAACATAATATTTACCTACAAGTTTATTTGTATATTCAGTAAATTATACAGTACACTAGTCAAGTGCCATATGCAACTCGACTAACTGCAATTTGCATATCATGAATACCTAGAATTATAACTATAATAGACCTAAAACTTGCCCTTTTATTATAATAACATGATACACTAATATAATTTATTGTTTAAGAGAGATGTGTGGTAAAAATAGCACAACTATAGCATAATAAGGACCTTCACATCTTTATGTAATATATCTAGAAATAATTAACCACATTAATTAAAACCTAAGACAGTAAGAAATAAGAAAATATACAATACGCACCAAAGAATCACTGACAGTTTTTTCTGCTATCATCATTTCTATGTTTTCTAAGTCTATTTCGCTTAATATAGGCAATATATTATGCCATTGTGTTTGGAGTGTAGTTGACGCTAACATGGTTTGGTCAATAGCAGGTTCTTTAAAAGTTTGCAGCCTATTCTCAATGTTATCCAAACGATTTCTTATATTTTTAATATCATAACGATCACCGTTTAAAAGATCTAAGCATGACTTTTCAAATGCTACAAAAAAATGATAATAACATTACATATAAAGAACTGCAACTAAAAATTCTTTTTTATTAAATAATTGATTATATATTATATGTTTTGCAAGCACCAACAATTTATTTTATACATAACATGCAAAACGAAACTCTTAAAAGTTGAAAAAAGTGAAAAGTTATGCTTAACCTCTCAAAATAGTTAAAATTTCAATTTCAAAGAAATTATTATAATTATACAACCCCACAAAAAAATTCTTACCAAAAAATCTCATCGCAAAAGCATGCTGATCAAAATGCTGCAGTTTTGCTTTATTTACTGCAAAATCAATTTGTGATTCTATTAATGAAATAACGTTTAAAAAACATCTTAAATAAATGCTGAGAAATAAATAGAGTTGATCCGGAATAAAATAACTGTTTACCAAACCTTGTTGGAACTTCTGTTATTTCAGCAGCTGGTACATCAAGTCTGTCTGGCGTTTTAGACATGATAACTGGATTAAATACTGAAGGTGTAAATTTAGATTTTTTAGTACTTTTTTTTAAACCACACATTTTTGCAGACACATCAGAAATATCGCCATCACTTTCTGCATCAAGAAAAGGTTTTGTTTTTTTTGTACAATGCTCTGTTTCAAACTCACTATCCTCTGTTTCTACATTTGACGTGTATAGGATTTTTTCAGCAAGTTCATTGGCAGATTTAAGGTTGTCTACAAATAAGAAACAAACAACATAATGACTTATGTTTTTGCACTGTAAAAATTTAACAGTAACAATATTCATTACAAATTATGTATTATTTGCTAAAACAATACCATTACCTGTGCTTGAAAGAATCTTTATGGAAAACCTTTGCCAGTTGATTTCATATTTGGCACATGTTTCAATATAATGTCCAATTCTGGATAAACTAGTGCGTTTTGGTGGCCAATAACACATATCAGCTCCAATAAGCAAGCAAGATGGTATAACTTCCATTGAACATTTTCCTCTGTTATCATTTTCATTTTTAAATACAACAATAACAAACTTTTTGTTAATAAAATTATTGTTTTCTCCATGTATCATTTGCTATAACAAAATTAGATAAAGAAAATTAGTGTGTAGGAAATAAGTAACATAATTAGATTTCAGATTAGAAAAATAAATTGAAAATTGAAAAAGTAGAAGAGACTAAAAAAAGTAGATGAGAATAAAAAACAAATACATTTTTCAAAAACACACTAATTCATGTAAATATTTAGAATACAAAATGTTATAAAGTAATGTTCTAAAGACCAGTTGTATGCCCATAGTTTTTAAAAGCGTTTTTGCGTCTTTGGGCAGAGAATGATAATTTGACAATATGTGCAATAAACCAGTCAATGTTTTTTGTTGAACATTATGCTTAAACGACCACTGCACAAGTTGATCTGGTAGGTTTTGTATTGCAACATTTCTTTCGTCATCACTGGAGCAAAACGGAAAGTAAGTCACATTTTCATCTGATTCATCAGATTCCAATGTCATACTGTTATAATCAAAATTACCTAAAATGATTACTTCTTCACATTTTTCTTCAGTTGCATGATCATCGTGTTTTAAGTTGTCAGAATATTTATGCACATGATCATCATTATGATGACCATGTGCATCAATATTCTGACAACTTAAAACATTCTATGCACTATTGTGAAGTAGAGAGGTTTCTGTATTATAACAAATACCTTTTACAGAAGAATCAACATCAATATCTTCAAAATGTTTGGTAACACCTCTACGAATAAATTTGCATCTAGCACTACGAAAATATTTACTTCTACAGTGAGATGCCATGATATAAAATATACTAAACTGAAAACATAAAATAAAAATCTAATATATACCTAATTTAAATAAGTGTTATAAAATATTAAAATATATTCTTCAAGCTTTAGCTACACCTAATCATGTAGAAACTATTCATAGTTGTCAAAGTTCAAAATATAAGCTGAATGCCATTATTAAAATGAAATAAAGTAAAGTATGCGTACAAGTGTGAAAATGTCAATATTCCCCAATATTAACTAACTAATATTGCATCAATATAGGCAAACAATATTGCGCCAATAAAGAAAATTTAATATCTGACAAGGAATATTGGCACAATATCGGCATGCTAATACTTGACAATCTTAATATGATAATACAATTGGTTGAAGAAAGATTTACTTTTATAAAAATAATAAGTTTGTTGTTTGGTTTTCTCTATGGTGCTCACAGTTTACAGAGTGTTACAGCAAAGATGTTATGAAACATTGCTTGAATCTTGAGAAAACTTTGTAACATGGAGACTCCAAAGATATGGATGCAGTTGACCTATGTAGTGAACTGAAACTAATTTTAAGGCAAATTGCAAGGTGTACATTGCCACTAGATTTAATAAATTTTATTTAAAAAAAATAATCTAACAGATTGTGTCCCCAACATTGTTATAGTTTTCCTTATGACACTTCCAGTTTCAGTGGCAAGCGGTGTGCGAAGTTTCTCAAAACTCAAACTGATAAAAAAAATTTTCAAGAACGTCTATGCAGCAAGAAAGACTTGCTGGATTAACTACACTGTCAAGTGAACATGATATTGCTTAAACATTGATCTGACGAAACTCGTTTTTACATTTTACAAAAACAAAAGCGCAAAAAAGTGAAGCTTTGAAATTATTTATTAATATATTATAAAGTTACACGAATATACGCTTATTTATGATTATGCATGTATATATTCTTCCGAATATAAATACAAAATGTAATAACATAACTTAAACATTCCCTAAAAAGAGGTTGGGTAGGGGAGTAAGGACGCAGTGTGCTAGATTTGCCTAGGGTACTAAATACTCTGGCGCCGGCCCTGGTTATAAATCCCAACTTTAAAAAAAAAACAAAATATTTGAAAAAAAAACTAGGGTACAGCCCCCTTGCCCTGAAAACAAATTTAACATTTTCATCAGGGCTACCCAATTGCTGCCAGAGTTCTAACAAATTTGAAAGATAATGTAAAATCAAACAAAAACACAAAAAAAAAAGATTCAAAAAAGTGGAGTTCCCGGTTGGCTTTTGTGACAAGTCAAACTAACGTTTAAAAATAAAATTACATGTATTCTAAAGCACTATTTTAATTCAATAAGATTTTGTTTTTCTAATCTTCCATGTGCGGATGCCCACAACCTATAGTAGATGATTGAGCGGCTTTCCATACCTTTTTTTTTCCAAATTGATTGTATATGATAAAACGCAATAAAAGAGTATATATCTAATAAACAATCTTTTAATCATATAGATTATATCAGATAGTTTAAATAATTAATAATTTTTTGAAAACTGTTTTAGCAGTTGATGTCCTTGCAAATACCAAAAATGTTGTATTGCGTCATTTTACCATTAAAAAAATATTTGATTTAAAAGGCAAATATTTGTATATAATAGTCAAGGTTTGAATGCATGGGTAGCATCCAGTAGCGTAGCAAGAAATTATGCCCCCACCTTCTTCTTCACCAAAGTTTCATTATAGACCCTAACCTAATTTTGCTCAACAAAAAAAGAAATAAAAAATCAATAATTATTTAGCAGCCCTTATTAGCACTATGGCTCTCATGCGGCAAGGAACCCATCTCTACTCTAATGGTATACCTGCATGTTGACTATATTTGTCCTTAATTATAAAAGAATGACCCTGATATACGTGAAAAGAAATTATTTTACAATGCCTCAAAACAATCACTGCCCACATACATCAAAGTATTATTACCTGAAGTATTACCCGAAAGTGCCCACAAACAAGCAATGGATTAATACCTTATCTATCTCAAAATGTTAAATCAACATGAAATGGCTGCTCTTTCAGAAAGGAAATAAAATAACTTGGATTTTTTACTTACAAAGTAAAGCATAAAATTTTAAAGATAAAATTAACTTTTATTTGTATTTGTAAATAACAACTTTTTTCAAATTACTTTTATGTAAGCTATTTTTGCTAATTAGTTACTTTTACGTGAAAGTAACTTTTTGTAAATGAAATGCATTTTAGCGAAGCTGCAACGAGCAGTGAATGCTTCAGGGATGAATAATAAGATATAAAGAGTTTACCAGAGTGAAATAAAAGTACAAAAGGACAGATATCCAGTGGAAAACAGAGAGCCTCAAAGTATTAAAATAGAAAAAACTGATACAAGTAAAATGTAGTAAATAATAAATAAGAATAATAAACAATAGTCAAGGAAAGTCATTTGTTGTTGTGCTACTAAATTGTTGTTAGAGTCGAGCATAAATGTGATGTATAGATAGTATTGGTAATGGAGTAGAATTATTTGTTTTATAAGTAGTCACCATGTGGTTTGTATTATTAGAATGATAAACATACATTATAGATATAAGTATGTCATGAGCGTCTCGAGTACAGTATGGATTTAAGCCTTATGGTGCAGTATGAACACATGAAGACCTCCAGCTTTCATCCAAAACTGGTATCCCAAAAGAAGTTCGACTCTGGGTCTCACCAGGGTATCTTTTTAAGGTATCCCATTGAGTTATCCCAATAGGACTATTCTCAGAGTATTCATTCAGGACGATTGCCACAGACTTCTGAATTGACACTGAGACCAGAGGACACTTAGTAGGGTTTAGTACAACTTAAAAACAATAAGTAACAAACAGTAAGTAACTTTTTGACACGAGTTTCTATAAGTGCAGTGGTTTGTCAGAGTATAACTTGGATCATTGAGAATTGTGAACTGTTTTGAGTTCATATAACTATGTGTATAATGTAAATAGTCAATGTGGTGTACGTGTATGTGATTACTGTAGTAGCATGTCTTGATAGTAAGAGTTATCAGTATAAAAAATAGCTGAAGGTCATTTATATTGGTGTAACATAAGCTAGACATGAATTTTAATAGGCCTATGACGTGTTTCTGGAGAATAAACAAACTATTACAACTAGATGATCTAAAATATTAAACTAGAATTACATTAATATAGCAACAAAAACTAATATATAAATTTTTCAACTAATAATCTTTATAAAAATTACCACTAATACATAACAATCATATGGAGTTTTGTAGTTTAACAGGTAAATGTATGTGGTTCCAAAATATGTTTGGTATATTGCATAAGTAAAAAGATTAACAGTGTATGTGTCATGTGACTGTTATGTCACAAGAAGAATCCTAAGTGGAGTAGAATTATTCGTTTTATAAAACTGTTGGCAGGTAGCCATTAGTTAATTAACAAACTGTATGTATAGCATGGCCTATTTTTGTTTAATAATATTCATAGTGACTTGTGTCTTAAGTCTTTCAGTGTGAGTTTTTTGTATTAAAATAATATTAGTTGTTAGAAACTGGTTATTGACCTTAAGTCATGTAATATCTAGTAATAGTGTGAAACTATTATATTTTACTTTTTATTAGCTTAATAACTCCTTGTTAGCATTTTCCTAATATTTTAACAGTGTGCAGACAATACATGAGTAGGGTTATTCATTTTTTAAGTAGTTATCAGATGGCGTATGAAAGATAGCTGGTGTAGAATTTTTTGTTTTTTAAGTAGATATCAGATGGTAAGGATATTAATATAATAACCCTGACAGGGGGTAAGAGTAATTTGTATAAAATCATTCAAATTTTTAGAGCATGTATGGTGACAGTAGAAGTCAATAATTGTAATGTTTATGGTTAGCTGAACTGTTTGTATTTGGTCTGACTGATGAATAGCAGCGTTAATATTTGGAGTGGAATGATTCATTTCATAAATATTTTGTGTGGTGTTGTTTGCGTCATAGAAATGATAAATATACATAGTAAAAAGAATCAGTGAATATTGAAAAAATATTAGATGTGGCACCTTTATTATACTTGACAGTAGTTGTATAATAAATATTATGTATAACTCTAGTAGTATTATATTGAAACATATATACAAATACATATACAAATACAGACACATTGAAGGAAATATATATATATATATATATATATATATATATATATATATATCCTTATGATTATATATATATATATATATATATATATATATATATATATATATATATATATATATATATATATATATATATATATATATTCCAAAGCATCCCTAAATCATTTATGTGTATTATATCCATTACAATTGCTATTTCATATATTTTTTGTGTTGAATAGGTGTTAGAGTAATGTTTTAATTACCCAATTTGGATAAAGTATAACCCTATACTATAGGGTTATACTTTATCCAAATTGGGTAATTAAAACATTACTTTAACCTATAGGCTATAGGCATAAATCAGCAAATACAACTTCTAGAAATACCAGTATAAATATGAGAATGATAAGCATATGTACATTGAAAGGTAAATGATTAAAATATAGGTGTTTTAATATCCAACTATCCATGTAGTGTCAAGATGACATTCTCATCAAGACCATTATTTGTCATCAGGGAGTTTTGAAGGTCTGGTGCCTGACCAATGGTTGACACCCTGTGGACACTACTTTGCTAAAATAGAGCACATGCTCAAAATTTGTAAGACACCAGTATTCTGTGATAGGATGGTGCGTCTTAGACTTAGTATGTTCTTTTCTAGGTCAATTTTGACCAGGGTCTTTGTGTATTTATTTAGGAATGCCAATGTTACATTGGCATATTGGCTATGTGAATGTTTACATTGAATGTAAACATTCACATAAATATCATATGACATTTATTGTGTACCACAGACATAACACATAAAGTGATAGTCATATTGGTACATATTTATAAACTATTACTACAGTTAAAAACTTAGTAGTATGTAGCTAATTAAGAAAAAACATTTGTCCCCTTATAAATAAATATTGGTACATATATTTTGTCTATAAATATAATTGTGAATAGAATAAAAGAAAGCAAAGTAACAAAAACATGTTTGCTTACTATTTTGAAATTAAATGTTATCTTTTGGGTTTAAATCGTGACAAGGATGTAAGATATGTTCTTGATGATGAATACTAACTCCTCGTTGTTATAAAAGTTAAATTTAAAAATGTAAATAAACAATGTAAAAAAAAGTTGGCGATTTTGTGACGATTTGTTACGAGGGGGAGAGGGGGGGGGTTAAATTTGTGATGCAACATTTTTTTTAAAAAAATTAAAAGAGTATCTGACCAAACCAAAACCCTCAGTTTATGTGATTGTAAAATTAACTACGCCTAAACCTTACTTAGTCGATGCGCACACTCTGTTAACGGAGTAGTTACAGCCTGTTACGGCTATATGTGCAGTGCACGTTCTGCGCTTTGAATTTATATGACTCAAGTGCAGAACTTTATTTAGTTGGTGCACAAAAGTGTGCAGCAACAAAAACGCAATCTTTGTGCAATAACTAAAAAAAAAAATTTCGATACCGAAAAACAAGCCTGGAACCCTCGGTTTACTAGCCGGAGGCTGAATCCACTCTGTAAAAAAAAACATTAATTAGACTGAAAAGTACTAGTTAATTAACTCAAAGAAGCTCAGAGAATTATTATTTTTAAAATCGTTTTGTATTTTGTAAAATTTTGCACGCCCTCCTATCCTTCCTAAAAAAACTTTAAAAAAATTTTTTAGTGAAGGAGGGAGGGGGATAGAAAATTGGGGGGTAGATACAAAATTGTTGCGTAATATTATGAAGGGGGCAATAAAGTGTTACGGATGCGTTACGAGGGTGGGGGGGGGGGAGGGAGGAGGAGGGAAAGGGGGTCAAAAAATGTCAAAAACTGCGTGACATAATTTATGAACGACCCCTTGTAAAAATAAATTACTTTTTCAAGTAACAGTTACTTATTCAAAAACTAAACTTTAGTAACTGAGTTTTACATGTTATATAAATTTTCAAATTATCCATCCATTAGCCATCCCTAATTCTGACAATATTTTTTTGAGAAAAATATCCGAAATATTTAATTTATTTTTTAAGGAACATTAACAACCAATAAACAATGTAAAAATTAAAATATTCAAAATATAAACTTTTTTTATATTTTTATATAATTTTATATAATATTAAATATAAATTTTTAATACTTTGATGTTTATGTGACCCCGGTTTACGGCTTTAACACAAATAGCGCTATAGAAAATCCGGCACTGTTTTTAATTTACTTTATAAATAAATTCACCACCCATTTACATCAACGTCAACAAACGACATAAAGTAAACTATAATGGCTATTTAGACCATTAAAATGTATAGACACGGCTTTAATACGGCATAATAACACGGCTAATAACACTTTTCTAAATGTGAAGTCAAAGTAAATTTCGCGCTAAATAATCTTGAATTTTGCAATCTTGCTTTTTATCTTGAATTTTTTGATTAATTTTAATTATGTTTTTTTGTTTTTTTAATTTTAATTTGTTAACTTTAATCATGAATTTTTTAATTAATAAAAACTATTAAAAATTTTAAATATATTATACAAATATTTATATATCATTTAAAAGGCAAAGGTGCGTTTTTATTGATTGGTAGTAAATAAGTAGTTTTAAAGAAATAGCAATCATCAATTGCTTTAGAATAGATCCCATTAAAGTATATTCTATATTTTTTTATTAGAGGGAATTTTTCTAAAAATTCTACTTTTTGTTTCTAGTAATATTTTCGGTACAAAGTGACCTGTGGAAAACATTTTTTCATTCATGAAGCTAAAATCTTTTGTGCATGTGACATCACTTTGAACTCAATGTTGAATTTAAAGATTTAAAAAAAAAAGCCACGTCTATCATTTTAAATTGGTCTAAGGATTTTTTATTTTACATAAAAAGTTTCAATTCAATTATTATTTTTTATCAATAAGTATATTTTAGTATTTTTTATCAATAAGTATATTTTAGGCTACTATACATAAAAACTATTAGACAGTTAACTATCTTTTTTTAATTATCTTACAAATTTTAAAAGCTGCTAAAACTTTGTGAAAACGATGAGAAATTGTGTTTATAGCTTTTAAAAAGACAAATACATGGGCATTTATTTGCATTAATAATACAGGCATTTTATCATTTAAATATGATTAAATTTAATTATTCTTAAATTAATTTAAGTATAACTAAACGCGTCACAATTTTTCGATTACTACTCTAGGGAATAAATTAAGTGAAGAATATTTTTTCAAGTAGTCTAACGAGCTTTTTACAGCAAAACATTTTTTTTTATGATCTAACGAAGACTCTGAATATGGAACAGCTTTACGTTTATGTGAGTTTTTACCAGACGCACATGGGTAATTATCTCTTAAAAACGATCCACCTATCAAACTCGACGTGGTAGTTTCGTTATTGTATTCTTGCGCGGTCTCATTTTTGATCAATAAACCTTCTGAAGAAATTATTTCGTTTTCTTGGAAATTAATAGCCCAAGAGTCTTCTTCTTCTTTTATCTTTCTGAGAATAGATGTATCGAAAGAGTTGTGGGCGCTATAAAGATATTGTTCCTTAGGGTTTGTTTCGTTTAAATTGGAAGAAGTAGAAAGACTTGGATTACACGCAGATTCAGAACTGTTCAGATTTTGGAACTCATCAGGGTCACTCTTTATTTCCTTAATCAAATATTGCATGTGTTCGCGAGATCGGTCAACATAGCCAAATGGATATTTTTCATGGGATTCGTCTACAGAACCAGATTTACTGATATTATTAGAATTTTTAGTGGCAGTGTTGTTTTTTTCAAAATCTTTACTTGGAGGATTTTTTTTTAAGTATTTATCTTTTGATGAAGAAATTTGTTTGTCGCTTAAAAAAGTTTGTTTATCTTTTAATAATGGAGTTGGGTTATCGTTTAACAAAGTTACCCGTTTTTGTCTTAAAGAAGTTTGTTTATATTTTAACATTGGAGATCGATTATCTTTTGGCAAAGAAATTCGTTTAGCTCTTAATATAGTTTGTTTATTTTGGAATATAGGAGATCGATCACCTTTAAACGAAGAAATACGTTTAGCTTTTAAAGAAGTTTGTTTATTTTTCAATACTGGAATTCGGTTATTTTTTAACAAAGGATCTCGTTTTTCTTTTAAAATAATTTGTTTATTTTTAAATAAAGGAAAACGATTATCTTCTAAAGAAGAAGTTCGTTTAGTTCTTAAAAAAGTTTCCTTATTTTTTAATATAGAAGTTTGGTTCTCCTTTAACGAAGGAATTCTTTTTTCTTTTAAAGAAGTTTGTTTATATTTTAAGTTTGAAGTTCGATTGTTTTTAAACGACGAAACTCGTTTAGCTCTTAAAAAAGTTCGATTTTCTTTTAATAATGGAGTTCGGTTATTATCTAACGACGTTAATCGATTTTCAGGGAATTTAGGAGTTCGGTTGCTTTTTAATACAGAAGTTATGTTATCTTTAAATGACGAAGTTGTAGCATCTAATAAAAACATTGAAGTTTTTTTCTTTTCAAATAAAGAAGTGCGTTTATCGTTTAATAAACAAGTTTCGGAATCTTGCAATGAAGAAGTCCTGTCATCTTTTATCAAAAAATTTGAATTATCATTTAACACCGGATGATTGTTATCTTTTAAAAAAGTTTGACTATCATCCATTAATTGACCTCGGCTTTCTTTTGTAATGCAACATTCAAAATCAGGTTCCGGAAATAATTGATATTTACTATTATAATGAAGCAACTCTTCTACACAGTTTTCAAGACCAATTAAACTTAGAAATGAGCATGTTTGAGACATTTCTTGACTGTTTGGTAAAAAAAACCATTTTTTGCGCTTATTTCCAATCAAATGATATATTTTATCTCGTTCACCTAAAACAACTGCTGGGATAGAATTGCTACCCATTTGTTCATTTGATAGAGTTTTACTCGTAACATTAACTGTACTATTAATGGCACATGATGCAAAAGTAAAACATGATTGGACAGATAAATGATCTGAAGTTGTAAAACTTGATCTTTGACTAAAAGAGGATGACGTGAAAGGACAACTTACAGCACATGTGTTTGAGGATACGGAACATTTGGATGAAGGATGAAGAATCTTTTTGCTATTAACTACTACCGAGTTATTTAAGGATTTTTTATACTGAACAGATTTGTTTAAACATTCAAATGACAGCTTAACAGTTAAACTATTTGAACTTTTGTCTAAATAATGGATATAATTTGATGACATTACAGTAGGCAATACTTTTGACTTTTGGTTGAAATGTAATTTATTTATTGGTGCTAACATTATAGGCGGAACATTTGATGTCATTAAAACATTTGAAGAACTTGTTTTTTGATCTGCTTGATCTTTTGATATTTTTTTTGGACTTGCTTTTGGTGACGAAGTAAACGATGAAATACTTGTTTTTTGATCTGTCTGATCTTTTGATATTTTTTTAGGTCTTCCTTTTGGTGATGAAGTAACCAATGAAAAACTTGATTTGGTGACGGAATGATTGATTGAAATCGGCACAAAGTGATCATTTTTCAAATTTAATGGTTTAATTGTTTTTAAATTGAGATAACTATTCGATGTGAACATAACAGGTGGAACATGGAACATAACAGGTGGAACATTTGGAACAGGTGGAACATTTGGAACATTTGGAACAGGTGGAACATTTGAAACAGGTGGAACATTTGGAACAGGTGGAACATTTGGAACAAATGAAACATTTGGGACAGGTAGAACATTTGGTATCAGAACAGTTGAACAACTTGTTTTTTGAACTTTGAAATGAACATAACTGTTTGATGACAAATTAGAAGATGGTATAACCCATTTTGCATTGATGTGTGCCAACTTTACAGGTGATATATTAAATTCTTTATCTAATTTTTTGTCACTAGTTATTGATATAGTTTTCTTTGGTGTTATTTTTAGAGATGAAGAACTTGATGCCATTAAAATAGGTGGACCATTATGTGTCATTATAGCAGGTAAAGGTTTTTGATTTATGCGAATGTTTGCATTTGATGACATCGTAGAAGATGGAATATTTGAAATTGACATAATATGATTGTTAATATTTAAAAGGTATTTTTGACTCACCTCTTGAGTAGCTGAAATATCTAAAATTGCTTTAGTTGAAGATGTATCTGAAACATTTGTATTTGTGCGTAATTGAACACTTGATTGAACATTTTGTGTTTTATTTAATTGTATCTTTGAGATAGGTTGCAATAAAATAGATGAAACAGTTGAACATTGTGACAAGTCATATTTTAACAAACCTGATTGATTGTTTGAAACAACGAACAAAACATTTGCAGGGTTTTTGATAACACTAGGTGCCACACAATACACTTTACCTAACGAATTCCCTGAAGCAATTTTGTTATCTGTTTGCAAAGAATTATTTTTTGTGTTATACATTTTTGTAAGGTCAGATTGTAGGATGTTTGGTACAACTATAGGTTTTATTGGCATAAGATCAGATTTAAGAATGCTTGATATGACTGTAGATTTTACTGGCATACTGTCAGATTGAAGAACCCTTGATACAACTATAGGTTTTACTGGCATAAGGCCAGACTGAAGAATGCTTGATGCAACTATAGGTTTTATTTGATCACATTGAAGAATATTTGATGCTATCGCAGGTTTTATTGCAATATAGTGAGATTGAGGCTTACTTAAAACAACAGTAGATCTTGCTAAAATATAGTCAGATTTAAGAATACTTGATACAACTATGGGTTTTACTATAGCCTCCTCAGATTGAAACTTGTTCGAGACACCTATAAGTTTTACTGGATTAAGATCAGATTGAAGAACTGTTGATACAACTATAGGTTTTACTGGCATAAGGCCAGACTGAAGAATGCTTGATGGAACTACAGGTTTTACAGTATTAGATTGAAAAGTTGCCATTGTAGATCTTATTGGAATATAGCAAGATTGAGGCTTACTTGAAACAACTGTAGCTATTGGTGTAACAAGATCAAACTTTAGCTTACTTGACACCACAATGGGTTTTAATGAAACAAGATCAGATTGAAGCATGTTTGAAGTTACCTTAGGTTTCATTGTATTAAAGTTGGTTTGAAGCTTATTTAAGGCTGCAGCAGTCTGAATACTTTTACTTAAGTGTGTTGATGAGATAATGCCATGAGAAGATAGTAAAATATTTGGTTGGTGATGAAAAACTGTACTTTGAGAAGTACATGAATTTTTTATCAGTAAATAAGCTGAACTTGTTTTATTTGCATTTTTTGCAATGTTAAAACATGGTCTGGAGATAATTGGGTAGATGTTTTTAACTGCATTAGTAGTTGAACCTTCACTGACACTTTCACGGTAATTAACTACTCCAAAAGATGAGGTTGGAGGTAAACTTGGACCCTCACTGCTTACTAAAGAGATTTGTGTTTGTGATTGCTGATTCGAGTTGGATATTAACTTTGTAGATGCAGATAAGAGCATAATATTCATGCTAGTTGTTAGTGACTTTGAAGATGAAACGATAGACTTACTAGTTTCAGATTGAGTTGTAGATATAATGGTTGACTCACATGTCGCAGATAAAGTTTTAGGTGAAATCATAGTATTACATGTTACAGATATTGTAGATGACATAATTGCTTCACATGTTGTTGCTGATAATTTTGGCAAAAGATTAGTGCTATTGTCTTTGTTTAATGGTGGTTGGCAATATTGAGATAAAACCTTACGAACATTATTGAACAATTTATCTTGACTAGAAGTTATATTAGCTTTTATTGTGAAATCTTCTTTCACTGTGGAAACTTCTTTTAAAGGCTTGCCTAATGTGTTTATCATATTGTTTTCTAAAAAGTCATTTTTTGTTAAAAACAAATTAGCATTTAAAGTTGTTCCTGCAACTTTTATAAAACATTCCTCATCAACTAAATAAGGTTTATTAACTGATGTGGTTTGCTCACCTAATGCTTTTGTGACAAAAACATTGCTGTTCGACATTTCTCCATTGAGGTCAACATCATTTCTTACATCTAAGTCATCTCTAACATAACTTTTCCTAGCTAGGTAGGTACTGCATTTAGAAAAATAAACAGGTTGAATATTTAATGGATGGTTAAGACTAACTTGGAAGTGTTTATCCTGATGGTTATGAGTTGTTGACAAATTCATTTTTAAGTTGTTACAACTATCTGAATATAAAACTTTTAAACTTTTTAGGCTATTTCCTGAGGTAGTACAAATATCTTTAAAATAAATTATATTTTCACTTTCATTAACTGTATTTTTTAGAATGTTGCAATATGAACTAGAGATGGTTGTATTGTTGCTTACTGCCCCAGTGTAAAGATTTTCCATTATGATTGGATTGCTGTTAAATATTCCAACATATGAGGTTGTAGATGAAACTATAGTTTCATTGCTTACAGATGAGATTGTCAATTGAGGTTGCAGATCAAAATTGTCGTTGCATGTAATAATTCCAGATGAGGATATCTTTAAAGGTAAAGCCACATTCTCACTTACTGTTGGTGATACTAAAAGGGACATAATACTGTCACAAGCCATTGGAGATATTAAAGGTGACATTTCCCTGCTAGCAGGAGAAGATATCAAAGGTAAAATGATGGTCTCAATAGGTGTTGCTGATATTAAAGTAGATACAACTGTGTCACAAGATACTGACGATATTAAAGGTGAAATGGTGGTTTTAGTAACTGCTAAAGATTGCAGCATTGGAAATATAGTTTTGCTTGACGCTGTTAATAATAAAGGTAAATTAACCTTGGCTGCTGAAGATTTTATAGTTAAAATGGTTTTACTAGTTTCAGGTAAAATGATTGCTTTACTTGTGTTAACACTGTACTGTTCACTATTTGGAGCACAAATTGGTGGAATACATGGATCTGATTGTTTTAATTTTTTAACAGCTGCATTATTTATCATTTCACAACATATAGTTGATAAATTAGTCTTTATTTCATTACTAGTCAATGATCCTATGATACCATTGATGTTAAACACTCTAAAAACTTTATTTGTATTATGATTTTTTAACACTTCATCGTCACTTTTTTCTACTGTAAAATCAATAGAACAACTTGGCCTGGGAACTTTAATAAGAACATCAGTTTTTCTATTTCTTTTTTTCTTTTTTACAATCATCGGTTTGTTAAAAATACTCTCAACAGTTTTGCTTGTTTCTTTAGGAAAGTTAGGACTTATCATTTCAGCTGTTTCTTGAATATTGGGTGTATTAGAATCGCTTAATAAAGGAAACTGTTTTTGTGTTTCACACACTTGATTTTTTAAATGAACTTTACATTCTAACAAACTGTTAGTAAAATAATTCTGATTCATTTTAAAATAAGAAGCAGGTAGACTTTTTATTTCCTTTGTTGTAGTCATAAAACACTTACGTTTTTTCTGAGTTTCTAAAACTTCACTCTTTTTCTGAGTTTCTAAAACTTCACTTTTTTTCCAAGTTTGTATTACTTTACTGCTTGTCTCATGTTTATAATTTTCCTTTTTTCTTTTTGACCTGTTATTTTGTTTTATATCCATCAAACTATTTTCTGAACTTTTAAATTTCGAGTCAACAGCTTTACTTAGCTCAATATTACTTGTTGGATGATTTTTTGAATCTCCAAATCCTGACTTAAAAACATTACTTTGCTCCAAATTACCAATTTGATAGTTTTCTGAATCCTTTAAAATTGACTCTATAACAATTGTTGGCATAAGATCATTTTTTTCTTTGAAATTTTCAATACTTTTTAAAATTGCTTCATTTTTATTTTCAGTAAAAATCAAATTATCCGGACCAATAGAACAAGTTAAATCATCTAGACCATTATCTGGAGCATTGTTTAAAGCAGAGTGGTCTAGTGCAGTTGCAAATACAGAACTATAAGAAACTGTAAGATTATCTAAGATAGAGGTAACAACAGGACTATCTTGATAAGTAGTAATAACAGAATTATCTTGGGAAATGCTAACAGTTAATTTATTAGGATAAGTGACAACTGAACTATCTTGACACATGGGAACCACAAATCTATCTTTGGATGTAACAATACAACTATCATTATTAAAACATGGTTGATCAGATTCTATAATTCTTTTTCTATTTTTGTTATCAGAATTTTCAAATGGAGTGATGGAATAATCACAGTTATTTTCTAATTTCTCTTTTGCTGCAGGTTTTATATGATTTGAAGTTAGATCATTGCAAATATCTGTTTTAGGCAAAATAAAAACATTAGATGACTTTATTTGTGTAATAGAATGATCACTGCTGTTTTTCATTTTTAAATCAGCATAAAAACTTTATTAATGGAGGATTTAAGTAATAATAAGATCTATCTCAGACAAGATTCAACATTGCAATCTTTCACTACTGATTTCCAGAATTAAAGTGAAAATTTCTAAATAAAAAAAATTAATTTAAATACAAAAATTAAAGAAATTTAATTAAGTTCAACATTTAAATTTATTCACTTCAATGCGTATTGCATGACACACATATTTTTTGTGTTCAATATAAATGCGTCAACTAAAAATTTTAATTAAGAAACATAGATCGTGCAAAACCGTGAAATTCAAATACATTAAAAAATACAAAGTAAAAATTTTAACAAAATAGACATGATTATGTTTATAGTTATTACTGTTATTATATGTAAAGAAATTGTGTGACATTTAAATAACAAAGTAGATATTTAATTTAATGTGGCAGTTATGTTGAGGCTATTGTGGAGTCAATTCCAAACATGTTGTATGGAGTTCAAATCCACTTTGTCCTTGGAATATATTCACCTCCCCACCTCGAGTAGGTTAATGTATTTAAAAAAAAAAATTAATGACCATATTATTGGTTTTTTTATTTCACTTTCATCTTTTAAATATGTTATTTAAGAAAATTTAAACTAATTATTTTAGTTCAAATTTTTTAAATAAAATAAAATTTAAATACGTTATTTAAGATAATTTAAACTAAATTAATTTAAACTTTTTAAGATAACATTTTTAAAAAGATGAAAGGGAATTAAAAAAAACAAATAATATAGTTATTTATAAATAGTTATACAGAAGCACATTTTCACCATGGGGACTCTTCATTAACACCACTTCATCTAGGATCTGAGATGCTTAAAACTTAATGGTCCTTAATTATGCTTTGATATACAATAGTATATCAAAACATAATTAAGTAAATAAAAATGTCTTTTTTTAATGTTGCTCACCTCCTCAAGACTGAGAAGGCCAGTTCAGTTGAGGAGGCTTTATTGTGGTTACAACGCTCTCAAAACAATTCAACTCTGAAACACAAACCTTGACTTACAAAGCCGTTGTACAGAAAAACAAACTGTCTTAAAATTATCTAGTGCTAACAAACACACCTACTCTTTATTGAACACTGTTTTGGTCTATATTAAATAATAAGTAGATAAATATATATGTAGACTTGCCTCCACGATACATGTGCCACCAATTTTAACTGCTCTTTTTTTATTAATAGCTGCTCATAGGTATTTTAATCAAAGTTCAGTCGCTGCTAAAAATAAAGCTCAAATGCTTCATGTAAACTCTGCAGTTTTTTGTTTTAATATTATAAAATCAATGTTAAATTTAAACTCCTGATATTTTTGATATTCGTCACTCTTTTATGCACTGTTCACTCTTTTATGTACTCCTGTTCACTCTTTTATGCACTCCTGTTCACTCTTTTATGCACTCCTGTTCACTCTTTTATGTACTCCTGTTCACTCTTTTAAGCACTCCTGTTCACTCTTTTATGCACTCCTGTTCACTCTTTTATGCACTCCTGTTCACTCTTTTATGCACTCCTGTTCACTCTTTTATGCACTCCTGTTCACTCTTTTATGCACTCCTGTTCACTCTTTTATGCACTCCTGTTCACTCTTTTATGCACTCCTGTTAGGCTCAATTTATAATTCGATTTGGTAAAATAACTACATAAATAATTATAGACTCAGCATTTTTTTATCTACTACTCACTCTCCTCCTTAACATATGTATATATATATAAAAAGGTGGGGGATGCTTTTGCCCTAAATTTAAACCCACACCTTGTGAGATATGGGCCCTCTATTTGTTCTTTAAAATGCTAAAAAAGCATCGTAAGATGTCTAAAATGAAACAAAATTAAATTTATGACATGAAAAATGTAAAAAAGGTAAAATAACACTGCAAACCAAATGTTAGGTATTAATTTCAAAAGAATCAATATATCGATTCTTTTGAAATGTTTTGTATTTGCCATCACATAAGGGTACATTCAAGAAAAAAATTACTCCAAATTACCAATTTGATAGTTTTCTGAATCCTTTAAAATTGACTCTATAACAATTGTTGTCATAAGATCATTTTTATCTTTGAAACTATTTTCAAAATGTAAAAAAATTGTAACATTTTAAAGCTTCAAATTAGTTGTTCTTATAAAGAAATTTAATTTAATTTATTTATAAAGACTTTTTGTTTGTTTATAAAAAGTAAATGCAAGGTATCATCTTGCAACCAGTTTCTTTTTATATGCGAAAACAATCCAAGGCTAAAGAGTCCCTTCTCGAGATCATACCATTTGAAAATCATATATCTAAATAAAACATTTTTGGTTCTTTAGCTAGAGTCAATTTTCTGTTATAATTTTTAATATAATTGCCATTTTTGGCTTTTTTTATTAATATTGAGTCTATCTCTCTAAGCTGGAATAATCTTTGAATAAGACTAATTTGCAAAATCATCTATATTATTTCTTTTTATTTTGTTCTCAAACTACCTTTTTTACCTTGATTTAAAACAATTGAGTGTAACAAATTTTTTAGTACTAAGTTATTATTTTATTAATTTAATTTTTGTTGATGTTATTACATTTGAGAACATCTATTTTGTGTTTGTTTTAAGTGTCTTGTAATAGTGCGTGTTAAGGCACATTTTGCTTGTTGCAGCTTATGGCAACAAATAAAAATACTCCTAAACTTCAGATCTTCTAGATGTGCTAACGCTGAGTAGCCATTCTTTGTTTGAACTTAAAACTCTTTATAATTTTAATTTCAAACATAATTAAACAGTGGTCAAATGGTGAAAAAGTACCAGCCACTGTTTAACTACTTTTCAATAGGAAAATACTGATCCTACCTTAAATGCAATGGCGCTACAGGTGATGTAATTTTGATTATATTTTTAAAGTTTCCAGACAAAGACAAAACAAAAAAAAGCTAAAATATTGAAATTTATAAATTTTACTTAAATTTTAGTTTGTTTTACAAAAGTTAATGAAAAGACACATTATTTTTTTAAACTTAAAAGTTCAAACTATTAGGAGAAAAAAGTTTGAAAATGAATGTTGAAATTTTTGCGAAAAAGTTTGAACGTTTGAACTTGAACATGTTCGAACTAGCAGCCCTAGATCAGTTTTATAATGTTGTAAAGTCATTAATTATATCAATTAGCTTTAACCATCTGAAATTACAGTTCTCCTGTTATCCCAGCTCTAAAACTCAGTTTAATGGTTCTAAAGGTTTTTCAAACTCTGTGGTAACTCAAAAAGGCTGATTCCATCAACAGCTGTAAAACATCAGAGTATTAACAGTGCCATGTTATGCACGGATGTTGTTTAGTGTTTTTGGTGTCCATTGTCGAGGCCAAAATAAGGAGCCCTAAGTTACAACTTTGGGTTATTTAATAGAACTGATACAACTGCGTAACTAATTGCATGGGATGTGACGGTCTATCTAGGAATGAATCAAGTTCTCTGGGTGTAAACTAGCCCTGTGGGGCTCTGTCAAACACAGTATTCCCAAATACTCAAAAAATACAAATTCCCAATTTACAGGTGAAAAAACCCCATTATCCAAATAAACCTTTCAAAATTAAAGTTGAATAATAATTCTAAAAATTATCGAAAATTAACTATTTTTAAAAACTAATAGAAAAATAACATACAAAACTCTAAATTATTGTGTAAAACCTGAAATAAAATTGCCGTTATTGGTATAACTAGGTGATTGCATAACTGCGAAAAACTTTTGAGAATTGAGACTTACCCATCGATTTTAGAAATTTTTTAAGCAACTTGCAAGATTAGTTTAACATTTTAGTATTTCTTTCAAAGTTTATCCCGTTTTGACTGAAAAATTAAATAACTTATTATAATACTATAACTCAAGTCTTACTGCAAACTCTACTGCAAGTATGTGATTCGTCCACAATTATATTAAGAAGCGGCCTATGTCAAATACTTTCAAAATTTTGATCAATTACGGATTTAACTGTAAGTCTTTTAGTTCTCATTTTTTGTTTGGTATTTTATATCAACTGAATTATGTGATTGCATTGACTAAAATCATTTTTTACTTATCTTCTATCTTGTCTCAACTCATATATATATATATATATATATATATATATATATATATATATATATATATATATATATATATATATATATATATATATATATATATATAGAGAGAGAGAGAGAGAGAGAGAGAGAGAGAGATGAACTGATGCATACACATGCAACAATTCCCCTATTTGTTGAGAATCATCTGACCATTCTTTTAAGTGTTTAGGCTTAGCACTTTACAAAAAGCCGCAGCCTGATTCATCCTCCATTATTCTCAGTTTACTAAATCTTGTATCTTACTTTTTGTATCTTAGAAGTTAGCCTCTAGAGACTTTTGGAAAATCTTCAACAGCATCATTAACAAAGGTATGTTGAACATTCCATCTCTAATTCATGAGTCTAATCTTATTATATCTCCGAGGATAATGTTGAACTACTTGCAAAGAAAGTTTCTTCTAATTTAACTCTCGAATCTGATGCCTGTACTCCTCATGCCATTTTAGTTAAATTGGTTTACCCATTGTTAGACATCAACTGTGGCTTCCGTTGCTAAAGTTATTTCTTAGCTAAACTTTTCTACTGCTTGTGGTCCGTACAACATTTCTGCCATTGTCTTGCAAAAGTGTTTTCCAGCACTTTTTTAAATTCTTTCTAAACTATTTGATAAATGCTTGACTGGATCTTGTTTTCCCGTCTGCTAGAAAAACAGCATAAGGTGCTCTTGACATATCTAAAGCTTTCAATCAAGTTTGGAATGTCTTCTTCATAAATTGCTTTTATGTTGACTTTTTTTATGTTAACTTCAAATTTACAATTTACAAATTTAAACTTTTAATTCTACAATAGGGTGTCTCAAAAAAGAAAAAAAAAAGCTCTCTACTAATTCCCATTTATGTGACCTAAATAAGACCTAAAAAAATTTGACGGTTTTATTTTGACAGGAAGTGCTAGATGTAAAATCTGAGATTTACGGTTTTAATGTTAATAGAAAACACAGTTTTTTTACATTTTAGAAAATTAAACCAAAACAATTAAATGTGTATAAATCATTTCCAATTGTTTTCGCTACTATTTAACTTGATAGATTATATTTATAAATATGAAAATACAAAAAAAAAAAAAACATAAAAACTAATATTTATAACCAAATTTAAGATTTTATTGCAGTGAAACATTTCTCAAAAATTACAACTTTTTAAACAGTTCCCAAGCTCCTTTTTGGTCATACTCTTAGTCAAGTTTTTTCTAGACTTTTTAACTACAAAAAGTACATTTTGAAGGAGATCTTCATCTCTAGTAGCTGAAATAAAACCCATGCAATAAAATCTAGCAACTTAGGATGGTTAAAAACATCTATAGTACCAAGACTATTATTGAGCAATTCTTTTATACTTGCTCTTGATATTTTAAAATGTTTGAAGAAAAGGTAGCTTTGCTCGGAAATCAGCTCAGGTAGCAATGTGGTCTCTCCAATTTGTATGGTATTTGATGGTTTACAGTTAAGTACCACGTATACCATCCCATGCTGAGAAGCGAAGCATTTCCAATCTTCTTACTAACTTTTCTCAATGCATCGGCTGTCTGGATAGCTTTCAAATCATTGTAAGAAGCTAGAAATTTTAAATAACTTTTCAAAAACCATGAAACAGGAAATCCAATGAACAAACTAACATCCTTCAACTGCAGCGCTTCTTTTTTTGTTCACTTAAAATTGCCAGATGAGGTTGTACACCAACACTAAACCTTGTTGCTGGAATAGCAGTACATTTAATGAGCTTTTCAATATTCACTGCTAGATTTATCCTACCTTCAGAATTGTACCTAGGTATCATTTTATAACATTTTTCTACCTATTTTATACTTTTCAATGAAACAGCTTTAGCTTGTGAAAATTACAACTATGTTATTAAAATAATACTATACCTGCATTTTCGATCGTTACCCAGGAAATCTTCTTCTTCGCTGATTTTAGAGTCCTCCTTTGAATTTTTTTTCTCACTGCTGAATTGAATTTCTTCTGTCATGGAGTCATGTGACAATAAAACATCATTGATATCTTTTAAGTTTTTCTGTCTCTCTTATTCCTTTATCTCTCAACTTATCTAGCTTGTTCTTTCTCTTATTTGCATCCAGTACTCTCCTACTGAAGTCTCCATCCCAATATATCCTTTCCTATTTCCCACTTCTGGTCTTCATAAAAACTAAAAAATATTTAAATCTGTTAAGACATTTATAAATAAATTAATAATTGTTCTAGTTTTTCATGGAAGATGACCAAACCATGGAAAGAGTTAAACGTAAATATTTGAGAGGAAATGACATGCTATTACTTAAGTTACTTTAAATCGGAAAGAAAATCTCATTATTCAAAAAAGTGTTATTTAATGAACTTACTTTATATCTTCCAGCTTGACATCATCTGTTCTCAATCTATTAGCAAGAATATCTTTTTCAAAATTTTTAGTCGAGATCTCAAAAAGCTGATTGAATTCTGTGAGAAAATCTTTCTCTAACTTTGATTACTTATCAAGACTGCTGTCCTAGTTTAGAGAAGACAATTTAATCAATTTCTTGTAATTTAAATTAAGTTTAATGATTTTGGTGTCTATATTGTACCAAGAAATCACAAATTTCTTGCCAAACCCAGCATTATCCCAATTTTTTTTAATCCTAGTTACCAAGCAAGAATTATCAGGGTTTGTATGAACACCATTTTTACAAACAAGATCCTTGGATTTCGATTTCAATTTGCAACCAACATTAGTAGAAGTGGGTTTGTATTTAACCTGTGACTCACGAAGGATAAATTGATAGTATCTTAGAATATCACCATTAGATGGAAGCAGTCTCTGAGATAAAACCCTCAATGGGTACTTCAATAGGGAAATATACCTCAACCTTTCTGTATTTTTCCTTTTTTTTCTTATTCTGTCCCATTATCATCCTTTTTATGTTCTAGCCTTTTTTTTAAATGAATTTCAAAATTTTTTTTAACTAGATTTATACTATATTTTACACTTGCATTAAAAAACTATGAAGTCAGTTTTCCCTTTGGGATCATATTTTATCTAAGTTTACCATTACGGCTTTTATAACTGTTTACATGAGAATTCCTTTGTACACAAATAAATCCATTTAGAAAGTTTTTCCTTCAAAAAAAATTTCCAAATGGAATTATTTGTGAACCAATCTATGGGGAATTATACCAACTAATAATATTGTCCAGAGGGAATTATATCAATCACTAACAATGTTCATAGGGAATGATGCCAATCTTTAATAATGTCTTATGGGAACTATTTGTGTACAAATTATTACATCATATTAAAACATATTGAAATACTAGATAGCGCTGTTTTTATGTAAATACACCTATATGTACAAAACCATAAAACTCAGAATTTACATATATCACTTCTAATCATTAAAAAATTTAAAAAAAAGATTTTGGTAGTTATTTAGGACCTATAGAATGGGAATCAGTTGAGAGCACATTGAAATTTTTAAAAAAGTGTTTTTTTGGGACACCCTATTCTACAAGTTTAAATTTTTTGTAAAACAAAATAAAATGAGCATGTGTTACATGTTTATATTGGTTCTCGAACAAATTTAACTCATCTCATTTTTTTAACTCATAAAGTGGTATACATTTATTCAAAGAATAAATAAAATAAAAAAACAAAACATAGTATACTATAATATAAATTTTTTGATTAAAAGCAAACAATAAGCAATAAATAAGAATCAAGAGGAAAGAAAAATTCAATCAAAATATGGTCCTCAGAAAGCGCACAGAAAATTAAACAACCACTAACATCTTTGTTAGAGGAGTGCATACTACTGTGTCAGCAATTGCCAGATCATATATGTCATGTGTATATAAAGCAACAACAAAGTGCATATTTCCGTTTATGTCGCCAAAATGTATGAGAAAATGAATTGATTATACAAGTAAGTAAAATTGTAATTTTATTTATAGTACGATAACAAAACTTGATAATTTTGTATTAATCTTTTTGTTATATTTATAAACTAACTATTCATCCATTTATATTTTTAATTCTTCTAAAATCAGATAGATTCAGTGAAAATTACACCATAATGGAGCAAAGTGAAATTCAATCTGCTTACTGGGTTCATCAGCAACTAACAGTATTCACTGCAGCAGTTTGGAGTAAGAACAATACACATTCCTATGCCATTGTATCCGATCGATTACTTCATGATAAATATGCCTTCTTGTTCATTATCAAAGAATTATTAAGTCATTATCATAATATTTGTAAATTACACTTTTCACTGATGGTCCTTCATCACAATTCAAAAACTCTTATGTCATGAATAATTTGTACAAATTATCAGCCATGAATAATTGACAGCCATGAATAATTGACAGCCATGAATAATTTGTACAAATTATCATCTGATCTTCTTGAGATTCGTTGGTCATTTTTTGTAACATCACACGGAAAGGGGGCAGTTTATGGCATAGGTGAAGAAATAAAAAGAATGGTTTGGGCAACAGTAAAATCTGGAAAACGATATTGTCGCAGTTTAGAAGATTTTATGAGCAAAGGTATGCTGGTAGAGCAAAGACATACCTTGCCAAAACATTAGAAATTTTAGATAAAATGGCGCATAATAAATTCCTAAAAGAACAAAACAAACTCATTTTTATATACCTATCTGTAGATGACCTCTCCTGGCATGACTTGTGTGAGTTAAAACCGTTAGTACCGCAACCATACTTTGATAATTGTGGACACATTATTATCGAGCCAAAGTGTTTCAACTAAACTTATTGTTAAAAATTTGATATTGTATCTTTCTTATCTTTAACATATTATTAACTATATAATACATTATTTATCTTTAATATAATACACTAAAGTATTTTTTTTTTTTAATTAAACGTGTATTTAATTAATTAGTACTGATATATATGCTATTTATGATGGTCGCAATCAATTTATTTCCAAAAATGCAATCCAAAAATGACTAATGTTTGCATGTTCCGTTCGTTACTTTTTTTTTGTCCTTGTGTGATTTTGGTTTAAACTAATATTGTGGAGCAAAGATACATCATAGAATGCTGTAACTTTGTAATAATCTTTAAAAATGCTTGTATAATTATCTATAAAAAACAAAACACTTGTCACTAATGCATTTTCAGAGAGAATAGGGTTCATTTATTAATTTTTTATTTTTTGCTTTTTTCTGTTCCGTGCGTAACTCCATTAAATAATTTATTTAATTTATAATGAAGCAACCCATAGCTACCATACTTTATATAGGTAATATATACATAGATGTCAAGTAAATAAAAGTAAGACAGCGATTACAAATTGCATTATTTTGAAAATAATTAATGCAACAGATGCAATGTTTCGTGCGTGATTTTTTGGAAATGCACAAAAATTTTGGAAATTTTTAGTTATATACAATACAAATACACCAATTTAGCCTACTATTACCAAATACAAATACAAATATAAACCCAACCCTGGAGCAAATATCAGATTTTATTAGTTCATTTTCTTTTTCTGGTTTTTAAATTTGAGAAAGTGCATTTGCGAAAGTGACAATTACTAAGTGATTATTGTTTTTTTCATGAATATTCGGCAATATTTTAGCTAAATTTCTACGGGACTAAGGGTTAACGCCACCCATATTTTTTTCCTAAAATAGCCCCTGTAAATACATTTACAGTGACATACTATTTATTTAACTTATTGAAATTTTATCAACTTTAAATTTGTGATATTTTGGCTCATATAGTTAGGGCCATTTTCAAACTGAATTTTTTTTAATTAATAGACTGCCTACCCAAACTCTCAGTCAATGTAGCAGCCCTTCTTATATTCTTTAATAATTATTAAGTTAATCTATTTTGTCTTATATATATATATATATATATATATATATATATATATATATATATATATATATATATATATATATATATATATATATATATATATATATATATATATATATATATATTCTTTAATAATTATTAAGTTAATTTATTTTGTATTTTATATATATATATATATATATTCTTTAATAATTATTAAGTTAATTTATTTTGTCTTTTATATATATATATATATATATATATATATATATATATATATATATATATATATATATATATATATATATATATATATATATATATATATATATATATATATATATATATATATACCACGTCCCTGGTAGTACCGCGCTCAACTCGTTTCTCCGCGCAGCGGCCTTGTTCGTCAAGGTTTGTGTTTCGGAGTTATAGAGTTGAGAGAGGGTTATAGCCACAAAATAAGTAGCCTCCTCGTCTGTAGTGGCCTTCTCGGCCTTAAGGAGGTGAAGTAAAATAAATAAATATATATATATATATATATATATATATTCTTTAATAATTATTAAGTTAATTTATTTTGTCTCATATATATATATATATATATATATATATATATATATATATATATATATATATATATATATATATATATATATATATATATATATATATATATTAAAGACAAATTATAATTTTAAAAATATTTTTTTGATTTTAACACACACTATGTACAACTTTAGAAAAAATAAATAACTTGGTCATACACAAAAGAATTACTCTATAAAGAGGCTGATCACGTTATAAAATGAACACCCCAAAATGTAGTGAGCTGTAGTTATAATGAATTATTACAATAAAGACATGAATAATTTAATACATTTTAATTAGTTCAATATAAATTTGATTTTTTATAATATATCGAAAAACTATATGAATCTAATTCATACTCAGTAAAAGAGAATACATTATGGATTGAAATCTAAAATTATTGCTTTTATAGTTCATTGCTTCAAATTGCTTTAAATTCCAATCATTTAAAAATAATAATAAATTGTTAGTATTATATTTGTCTGTGAAAAATCAGAAAATTGGCTATAACTAAATTTTTTCAACAAACAAACTTTTATTAAATGTACTTTTTTCAAATGAGTATTTATAAAAAAATATTTTTTATACTATATAGTGGTTTAGAAAAACCTGAAATTCTCCATTCTATACAACAAACACATTTAGAGATATTTACATAAATAACTATTTCTTAAAATACTTTAATATGTGGTGTTTTTTTTCGTTATTTTAATTATCTTCTCTTAATTTGATTTTTTTATAATAGATAGTGCAATTAATGATCATATTTTTTTCAAAAGATGGTTTAATGTGATTCGCCTATATATATATATATATATATATATATATATATATATATATATATATATATATATATATATATATATATATATATATATATATATATATATATATATATATATATATATATATATATATATATATATATAATATATATATATATATATATATATATATATATATATATATATATATATATATATATATATATATATATATATATATATATATATATATATATATATTAATCATAACTTTTTGATTTCATATGGCAATTTGATAGTGCTTATATGTTTGATAATGCCTATGTTTGAAAATTATCCATCTGAATAACCACTATACTTTACTTATAACTTAATATAATGAAAGTACATTACAGTAAATAAGCAGCAATAAAAAAACTATTTGTAGATGGATATGTGATTGATTTGAAAAGTTTTAATTTTTATTTTATTTTTAAGAATTATTTTACCCTTGTTATTATTAGTTATATAATTTATTAACTTTTAGTTAAAAAAAAAATTAACTTTTATGAAATAACTTGTCTTGACTTGAAAAGGAAACATTAAAAACTAAAATTAGAAAACAAACTTTAAAACATAATCGTGCTAATCTATCTTAACTTAAAATTTAATGAGCACTTTATAAACTTATTTTAGTTTTTGTAATATATACTGTAGTATACCCAAAAAAGTTGTGTTCAGAAGTTAGAACAGAGATAAAATATAAATATATGCATTAAGGATAAACTAACAGAATATTTTTACTTACAAATAACAGCATAACAAAAATATTTTTAACACATTTCATTCATATCTACAATAGTATTAGCAAACTAAAAAGACTTAAACATGATAAATTATTCCGTGACGCAAACTTAATGAAAGCGTCGAATCAATTAAGTAATCAAATAAAACGTTTTTACCCTCAGAGGTTGGTCGATACAATCGTTTACCGTATTATTGTTTGTTTCAAAAGAAAGATGGTTTCATGTTGCGCAAAATGCTACATATAGTAAGGTATATTATCGCACCTTGTCATATGTGTACCTTATCTGTGTTAAGGTGCAATAATATTCTCATGTTAATATTGTTATTAAGTATTTAGTGACACTCCAACTATTTTTATATACCAAAAACTATCTGGCTTGTAAGAGAGAAAAATGGAATAGCCTAAAATACGGAATTCTAAAACGTCGAAATTCCAAAAAAATGGCGTAATAATAAACTTACAGTAACCGTAAAAAAAGACAACGTTATTTTTGGCATGCTCCGGATGCATATTTTGAAACGCGCAATCTGATTCGCCGACTTTGAAAGTGAGTGGGCACGTTTTTTAAAACTAAAAAAACAAAACAACTGTCCAAAAGTGTATTGAATTAAAGTGAAATTGAATGCTTATTCAAAAAATCAAAGAATAGTAACACTTAATTTACAAATTATTTAAATTAAAGTACATAAAATTTTACAAAACTTCATAACTCAAATAAACCGTGATTTTTAGATTACAAAGTATAGTATTAATTACAAAAACAAGATTTAAAAAACCAGTTTATTTTCCTACGGTTTTTATTACTTTAAGCATGTAAGAGTGAACAATTGGTTTAAAAAAATGAAACCGATGGTGAAATTCGACCATGAGATGATTCTCCTACGATAAATTTCCCAAGAATGTTTTACATTTTACTTATCAGTATGTTCATACCAATATGTTCATGATCATATGTAACAATATTTTACCACAGTATATATCTTTTATCTATTAATAAAGTATAAATAACTTGGTACGACGTAATGTTTTCATCAATACTATGATTTGCTCTGCAAAAAAAATGTATATATATATAAAATGTCAAGCCAGTTAACCAGTGTAACTGGGTTCCATCTGGAGTAAATAATAGAACCTATCTGGGTATCCTACATGTACCTAAATGTAGTTTTTTTTTAGCTGGATGACACAGGGTCCTATCTGGTAATATTCTGGGTTTTAGACATGGAACTTCCATATTGAAGACAGATATTTTCTAGTACAGCGTGCGTTATCTTAATTATTTTAATTTTATTTTTCAAAGATTTGAGCGTCGTATTTTTTTTTTAGCATAAAAAAGTTAAGTTACTATTTAAATTAAACTCGCTGTAAAGAAAGTAAGTTGTATTAAGCGCATGAATAATTGGTCTAACATAAATTGTATAAATCAGTTTTAAAAATAAATTTGAATTTCAAAATTTATTAAGAAACAAAAAATTATCATTATACAATGATTTGATACAATCTGCTCGGCCATAGTTCCATTCTACCTCAGTATTCTCTAATTGCATTACGATGATTGCATAATATACTCTGCTTTAACTTGTATCGTTTTTTTTCTTTAGTACTTTTATCTGTTTTTACGCTAATTTTTAAAGTAAAAATAAAGATTTGAATAATATAATAACTTATAGTATATATACTTCCAAAGAAATAAAAATCATAAATATTTATTTATAATATTAATTAGGATATACCATGCAGTCTGCCATATCTTACACATAACAAACTAGATTAGGCATCTAAAAACGCAAATGAAAAAATAAAAAAGCAAACAAAAGCTGAATTGTTATAGAATATAAATATATGTATAATATATGTATAAGATAACCATAGCTGGATTGAAGTAGAGGTCCAGAGAAGAAAACTTATTCATTAATATAGTTTGTTGTTACACATTAATCACCTGAAAGTAACTTTAAAAACAAAACACTATTACTATTAAATCTCCTAGACAAAAAAAATATAATTGTTCAAAAATAATATAAATAAAATATAAATACTGAAGAACTGAAACCTCAATATGACACAATTTATAATGTCTTGTAAACTTCTCATATTACTATCATTACCCAGCGGGCACAGGTATGTTCATTATAGAGACAATGTATGTCCAAGCACGTCCGTTTGTCCGTGAACTAAAACTGAACCTTCGTAAGTTGTTTAACACAAATCGAACCTAAACAGAAACTAAACTAAGAATATTTTTATAAGGTTAACCACATACATTACAAAATTCGTCGTTATTATCTACTATGATCATAGTTTTATACGATTTTATTTTTTATAATTTAATTTTTAAATTAATCTGGGGAAGAAAAATAAAACGTGTTATGAAAACACGTTTGTTTGTCTTTCGCAAGTCTCATCTCTTGGTAAAACAGTGTTTTCCTTAGAGAAGAGACCATTGCAAAAGAAATGACAATAGCTCGACAAAAGCTTCCCCAGCAAGCAAACTTGTGTTGGCCCAATGTACGAAATAACATTGGCAAATTATTCGGATTGGGCCAATGCAGGAGCGTTGAGTTATTTTTAAATTATATATGCCGACGCATATGTACGAAACATTTTTTTATCATACATAATTCTAACTCATGTTTAAGTAAACTCATGTTTAAGTAAATAAACTCATGTTTAAGTAAATAAAAATGATTTCCTTCTTCAAATATAACAACGGTTTAATAAAGTTATTGGATTTTATTTTAATAACGTTTACTACATAATAGTATATAAAGTTATTTTTCATGATGTGAAACAAACTATAAAATATTTTTTATTATAGAAATAAAAAAGCCAACTTTTTTGTATTAAATTACTATTTAGAAAATGAAAACATTTTTCATTCTCTACTATTCCTCAAAAAGTTAAAAAACAGGTTGATCTTGATTTTAAAAAAGTATAAACCAATCTTTCAAACTCTACCAATTTTTGTGACATCAAGCAGCTGGTTCAGCAGGAAGATGTTTTGTTTATTATAAACATTAAATGTTATTATTATAAACTTTATAAACAAAATATCTTCATCTTTAAATCTAAAAATGCAGATGTTTTGTTTTAAAATTTTAGTAAAAAATATGATACCTGACATCAAGTTTTTATTTAAATTGTAATTTTAGTTCAGATCCTGATAATTTTTTGATTAAAGATTCAAATTTATCAACTGTTGATGTTAATAATATTGATTAAAAGGCAAATAAATACGTTTCATCTAGCTCTGATGGTCTTATACTGAAATAGATGAAATACTTCGTGATTAATTTTTGCAATATAAAATAACTCATGTGGCACTTGCATTACATTTGTGCATTCTTAAACCATATTTCCCTACAATGTAGGGAAATATGGTTAAAGAACAGAAGTTATGTAAGAAGTATAGTGCATAGAAGTAATGTAAGTGCCACATGAGTTATCTTATATTGCAAAGATCAATGGCCAAGTATGTTACTGATGTAAATGTGTAAGTTAAATAAGTGGTATTCTTAAAATTTGATTTCTTCTTTACTTTGATATTTATTTTTAAATATTTTTTAGATAATTTTAAAAATGCGCTATTGTGCACTTTATTAATGACAATTCAGTAGTAATTATACCATTGATGTAAATTGTCATTATGAGTTTATGTTACTGGCTTCCTTTTGTGTTAGTGGATTAAAAAGTTCTATAAAAAAAAGTTAGAAGAGCTTGAATCATTTCAGGAAAATCTGCCAGGTAGAACATTACATTTATATAATAATTTCTAAAGTTCAGCCTTTATTGGTAATATCTGCATAAGCATTACATTTAAATTAACAATTCAATCATAAAAATTAATTTTGAATTATTTTTAGTACTAATATATTTTTTAAAATAACTTTCATAGGAGAATTTTTAATTATTTCTGAGATAAAAATCCACACAGTATTTTGTTTTTTACTTTATTAGGAAATCATGAAAAGCTTGCCAATATTTAAAACAAAAGGAGACATGAAATCTTAATGAAGATCATGATAAACAATCTATATCAAAAAAGTGCAGAAAGAGTTATTTATCATATAATGAAGAACATAATAAGACAATTACACAATACTTATATGTCCGATTGTTCCTACAGGACTGACAAACTCTTTAGTTAAATCAGTTTTTCAACCTAACAAGCTTAAATCTCATCCCAGGCTCAGAAATACCAAAAGTACAGCTGAACTATTTCAGGGGACAATATCCAAAACAGTTTTAAGTAAGTTCAAATTTTCTCTTTTTTAACAAGAATAAAAGATGCTTTATCTTAATTACTTTCATTTTTTTTTTTAATTTTAAGTAGACTACTCTTCAAGTGAGAGTAAAACAATGAATTCATCAGGTAAATAAATTTTATAATAAAATTTTTTGCAATGAATCAATTTTTCATGATTAATTTTCAGTTAATGATAATTATTTAATTACAGTTATATTTACATGTCTTTTAATTATTATAATATTGTTAATTTGTTTTGTTATGTACTATAGATATAATTCAATATCTATAGTACATAAGAAAACAAATTAATGTAACATTGAAATTCAAGGCACCCATACTGTATGGCATATAAAGTAAACAAAGCGAGTGTTTATTAGCATAACGTGTTTAATTACAGTTATTTAGATAACATACCATATAGTAGATAGATTTTTAAAGGTTATTTTTGAATAAATTTCTGTAAAATTTAATTCTCTATCTCATGAATTAGTTGATTTATTTTTGGTGAAGGTAAAACTCTATTAAATAACTTGTTTTCAAAAGTGTATAATAAGTAATGTATGAGCGAATAAGTAAGCTGTATATAAAGTACTCCATAGCATTCAATAATAGACTTAATTATTTGTGTTTTACTTTTTAGATATATCTTATATTATGTATTATAACACATAAGATTTATTTTTTTTATATATATTTTTATCAATTTGCTAACTTTCACAACTCAGACACAGTGAACACATTTTGATTGTTTAATCATGTTAAACAAGTTGTTAAAATGTATTAATATTTTAAAATGCTATGTATATATTTAATATGCTGAATTACATATTAAATTTAGTATCTTAAAAGTATTTAATGATAATTAATAACAATAGTAATTGGCAACAATTGAAACCACAAACTTAGAAGAATGTATCTTTTTATAGAGGCAATCAGCACTCGTGTAAAAAACGTAAACAAGTTACAAAGGATTCAAATAGTTATAGTTTCTTTATAAACTTAAAATTGTTGATAATATATGTGTATTTTTTGGCTGTCATATCAAGAATGTTTTGATAAAACATAAGCTTTTTATTGACAAATTAACTTATGACATTGGTGCTGTTCATAAGTTAAACTTTAAATTTATAAGCTTGCTTAAAAGTAGTGTTTTTAATTAATCGTTCTTTGCATAAAATTCTGCTGCAAATAAAATTATACATAGTAGATGAAATTGATTGAAAGATCACATTAGCTATAAAAGAAATAGAAACACAAATCAAATTCCAAAATTTTTTGAAATAACTTTAAACTTTTCAAGGACTTCTATAAATAATACTAGTAAATACATAATAGATTTGTAAGTATTAAAACCTTTTCAAGAAATATATGTATCCATTCAAGCAAGCTGTTATGTCTAGAATATCTATTTTATTTTATTGATTAGTGTACAATGAGTTTCTCAGAAGAGGTGACTTTTTGTTATTTAAAGATGTTGTTAGTTATGGGCCATATGTACAATTCTATATATTACCACTGAAAGTAAAGTGTGTTTGACATGAGGAGTTTTTTTCTGATTTCATTGAATTCAACATTGTAAACAACTGTAACTTAATAATGGGTCTCAATAATGACTTAGCAACACAATCTTTTGTTGATACAATAAACAAACATGATTCTGAACGTTTTAAGTTATCAGGGTTTGTAAGAAATTAGTTTTCAAATACACCCTGAAAATATGCTCAAATTGACAAAAAAAATGCTGGACTAGCACATTTAAAATAATATAATTACAACTTTTTTTAGAATTGTGTACTATATAAAGTACAACTTTTATAGGTGAAATAAAAGATTGAATTAAGAGATTTTTTAATTATAGAAAGTTGGTTTGTTTATTTTTATTATACTAAAATTTATTATTTTAGTATAATAAAAATAAATAAACCAACATTATAGAAACCAATATTATAAAAAAGATTGTTTTAAAATGTGTGTAAAAATATTGTTGTTTTTTTTCATAGAAACTATAAACTATTGTCAGCAAAATTATACCAATTACTTGTTTTGTCAATGGTTGCTCAAGTAGAGCAGACAATGACAAGATTTCTTTCCATACCTTCCCCACTATTATTAATCATCAAAACAGTAAAACGCTAGAGTTGTCATTTGTAAGGCGTATTTTAAATGTAATATGTAGCAGGACTTTTAAGTACTTTTAGACAGCAACTTTTATATCTTTTTTTTTTTTAGTTCAATTTATACAAAACATAATAAGAAACAAAATAAATATCTGTGATATTGATATTCCTTATTAATTTTCTTGTATGCTTCAACAATACGTATATTTAGGCTCATACATAAATAAATTAGTTATAGGCATACAAATAGACATATGTGCATATTTTTACGGAGCTACTCCATGAAAAGAAGTGATTTATGATTTGTGTCCCATTCATTAAATTTCAATTTATACGAGTCTACCCCACTAATAACCTGTAATTTTGCAACACTGCAGCAAATTGCAGCAGCACCCTGTAATGTTTGAGCATATTCCTCTATTTTCACAGCAATATATAAAGCTAAACACCTATCATTGAAATAAAAAAATGTAATATTATGGATATGTAAATAAAGGTTCAACTGAAAACCCTTTTTTGTGGAGGATTTCATTTACTACTAGTTTTATGTTTTTGGGGTTTATTCTCTCTAACCTTGATATCTTATAGACTTATCATTGTAATGGTTCCTATAGAAAGAAAACTACAGTTTTGTTGTTTTGAGAAAACGCAAAAAAAAAAGATAACTATTAAGTCATAAAAACTCCTTTTCGAAGCTTTAATCAACAAATCCTTTCTTTCTTTCTTTTAGGATTTTCCTTCATTTTAAACTTTGAGTAAAAACTTAGCTTGAGCTGTTTTTGTTCACAGACATCAAAAATAGTTTAAGATGCATCATTGAATTCAATGAAATAAGACAAAACTGCACAATCTCTAACTTCAGTGTTGTAATAAAATGTAAATGTAATGTAAACTGTAGTAAAATGTAAATGTAATGTAAACTGTAGTAAAATGTAAATGTAATGTAAACATTGCTAACTAATCCCTAAAGTAAAATCTATTTTTAAAGTGATAATCAAAATTTTTTTCTGCATTACACAATTTTACACAGTTTGCATTTCTCTGACAATCAGGGTTGGCATTAAAAATCGCACCCAAAAAAACCCGCCCAATAAAACCCGATTTAAAAAACTCAATAAACCCAGGCAATCTGGGTTTTCTTGTTTTTTTTTTAAATATATATTCTAATGATCTTATGATCTTTATAACTAACGCTAACATTATAGCTATTATATTATTAGCTAAATTAACTGTTAACTATTATTGTTATCTAAATTATTATTAACTATATTTATTAATTATTATAACCAACAATAACAGCTATCAGAGTAAATTTACTAATATTTGAAATATTATTTGGAAATATATTAGGCCAGGTGAATAAAATTAGGCAATTGCTTTTACTCCGAGTTTTTGGAGTAAAAGCAATTGCTCAATTTTATATATATATATATATATATATATATATATATATATATATATATATATATATATATATATATATATATATATATATATATATACACACACATATATACACACATACGCACATATATATACACACACATATGCACTGGCCTATGTATTTTATCTTCACATTTGTTATCATTATTTTCATTTTATTTATTATTATTATTATTATTGTTTGATTTACACTTAAAGTAGCCATTTTTAAATTTTTAAAAAATAAAAACAACAGATTTCTATTGCTAGTGGCATAAGGCATTTACTCCTAAACGGAAGTTTGGGAGTAAATGCTTACTTTAATTGAAAATCAAACAAGTACTGACATTTTTCTTGTGGGGTTATATATTATTTCCAGGTTGAAGCTTCCAACATGTCATTGAGTTCTCTCAGTATTTTTTTATCATCACAAATAGTAAAATTGCTTATAAGTAAAAGCAAAACTTTATTCGCATATTTTTTAGCAATTGCTTTTGCTATGAGCATTTGCTTTTTAGCTTTTACTTTTACTCAAAGCAATTGCTTGTGACCAATTGCTTTTTTTTTATTCACCCAGCCTATTATCACAATTCTTATTCAAAGATTTTTACAAATTTCGATTTTTTTTATCTCTTGTGTTGTTCAGCTCCTACATCTGAGAAGGCCACTACAGTTGAAGAAGCTACCTTATTGTGGTCACAACTCTCTCTCAACTCTTCAACTCCAAAATACAAACCTTTATGAATAAGGCCAATGCGCAGAAAAATAAGTTTAAAATAAACCAACACATATAGATTTAACATGAAATTAATTTTTTTTCTTACAGTTTTAAATTATGTTTAAAAATCTTATTCAAAACAATTTGAAAATTTCTTTTTATAAATTATTAAATAACATTATGTAAGATATATTTTAAATAAAGTTAAAGTAGAAAATTATATTAATTTTCAATATTATTAAATAAAAAGCAAAAAAAAAATTTAAATAGTATTCAGTTATTGTCAGCAGGGTTTTTGCCAACCCTGCTGACAATACCTGAATACTATTTTATTACTGTTATGAGGTTTTACAACTCTATTCAATGATGAATGGCCTTTTTTCCAATTTTTTTCATTTCTTTAACCAGCACAAGCCATAAACTTCAACAGCTTCATATGCTTTTAGAAGTGTTTATTTGGTGATAAATAATACTGACCAGATCAACATACAACATACTTGTACTATACGTTAAAGTCTTTGAAATGATACAACTAATTTTATAAATTTTTTGATTTGATTCATATCTTTTACTTTCTTCATATCTTAAAGCCAATGAAGACCTTTATATCAAACTGCAGGATTCAATGTAAAGAGCAGCTACTTTTAAACACACAGCTTTTAACTTTGAAATTTAATTTATGAACATCAACCATGCGAGGAGTTATTGTAAATATGAAATTGTAAATAAAAAGTCAACGTTATATAAAAAACATTCTGGAATTTCAAATTAAGGTAAACATAAATTTTCAACAATTTGAAGTTTATAGTGTTTTAGTTTATAGTAAAATCGTAATCATTTGGATCTTCTGCAACTTTTTTTATGAG